GTATGAATATAATATACAAGTTTCACTTTTTAAATGGAATTACTGAAATCAATCTACTTTTTCATGATATTCTAATTTTATGACCAGCATCTGTACAGTTAGTTTTCCTCTCAGAATCATTTTTGTTTGACTATAATCAGTCACCTTTAGCTGAAACATTGTGAATAGAAAGAGGTTAAAATACCCGATGAAACTGAAGCTCCAGTGAAACACTTTCTCCCTCATTTGGCTAAGACACAGAGGAAAATTTAGCCACAGCTGAGTTGATTATTGTGGAGGATCATGCAGGATTGGTAGATGAGGATGATATGATTTTATGCAAAAAAGCCGTGCATATCATGTATGATTTTTTTTGCCTTTTTCAGGACGATTCTCCAGTCGTGCAAGAACTTTTTCGATCTAGATCTAGCTTAATTGTGCATCCTGCTTTGTGTAGTGTACAGGGGCTAACAAGGGACAATTAGCCTCTCACGACAACCTTTTGATCAGGAATTGTAAGGTCAGGAGAAAGTCAAACATGTTTGAAATTCAGTCAGCCATCGTGAAGTGTTTGTGGGCAAATCCTACTGTTAAAGCAGAGCTACAAGCCGATTTACCAGAACCTCGATCACTGTGTATGTGCAAACAAGGGTGTTCTTTCAGATTGACGACTCCGACCAGTCCAAAAACATTTGGTTTTTTGACATGCAGTGTGAAAATGTAGATCGCATCAGAGCGTCAGGCCGCACAGTGTGAGAACATACATCGTGAGATGTGAACTTTTAAACCCTGCGGTTTGGTCATACATTTTGAGCTGTAGCTGCGTGCAACGAATGTAAATATCGTACAGTGTATGCCCAGCTTAAGCAGACTTCAGCAGATGTGCTTAACAGACAGAGGACACAGATTAAGTAAAGACAAATATTAATTAAATATACTTTTCTTGGTCTATAAAGATCAAGCTCAAAAACATAAGGTGTGATCATATTTGTGGTCTGGAGGTTTACTCCCTGGAAAAGCTTTGCTGATAAAACAAAAAAACTAATAAAAAAAACATGGGTAAACTTAGTTTTCCCATTATAAAGACATACATAGACTGGGGCTATGTCAATGTATCGCAATAGGACTCCTGATAAATATTAGTATAAAAAATAACTGATAGAGTTTCAATAATTCCACTCAGAACCACTGGTAATCTGGAGATTATCTGGAGGTAATTTCTTATTAACCTCAAAAGACCAAACTAAACTAGTTTAGTAGTATGGGTGACCAGATTTTTAAAGGTTTCAAGGTTTTAATATGGTCAATGTTAGATATGAAACTAAGGCTTTGTCCCCTTTTCCTGATTACAAATTGGCAACCAAATCCCATCACTTTTTATCAACCACTTGGCGCAGCCCTAGATAGGACCTTAAAACATACCGTTTCTTTCCTCGCCGTAGATTTCCCCTGGTTTTATGATCTAAGACAGCAGAAGCACATTTTGAGATTTTTCAACTTAAGATCAACTGTGGATGTAACTTCGTATCAACATCAGGACTGCCATGTCTGGGGGCTCTGTCCTTTTGAAAAATGAACCAACAGATTGATGAGCAATGATAGAAAAGCCTGTGAGACAGTAAGCAGCATATTCAGGAGATAAGAAGCGACATTGGCCTCTTGATCAAGAGCTTTTGGTTTGGCTTTTGCTCTAACCAGTG